ATCAATCCCTTGTCCAAAGCCCCTCTCCAGGTTTCCTGGAGCCCCTTTAGGCACTGGAGCTGCTCTAAGCTCTCCCCTTAAGGAGCCTTCTCTTCTCCAGGCTGAACCAGCCCAGCTCTCTCAGCCTGGCTCCCCAGCAGAGCTGCTCCAGCCCTCGCAGCATCTCCATAGGTGGCCTCCTCTGGACTCGCTCCAGCAGCTCCACGTTCCTCTTGTGCTATTGCCCCAGAGCTGGATCAGGACTGCAGTGGGGGGGGCAGAATACATCTTTGCATATATTTACATTGATTTAATGAAACGGGTCTGAAAACACAGCGCTTGATGGGGGATGGATACACAGCAAAAAGGAGGTCCGGGTGCTGTGAACCTGGTCTCCTGCTGATGCCAGAGGTCTTTTGCATAAGTTCATGGATGTTACTGCCTATCAGAAACTTCTCTGTTGCAGGAAAAGCCTTTATGATTTATTACATTGTTCTCATGTAATGAAAACCGAGCAGACTATTCTGGTTGCTTTAATAATATCAGTGAGGAATCTTGTTCTGAGAACATTCATGTTAGCAGCGCTTTAGAGATGACCGGGTATGTTGTATTTGATGAAGCAAATCCTTACAGTTAAGCTGATGAACAAGCTTGGTCTCCTTTCCTTCACTCACCCCAGGCTGCTTTTAGAAGCTCTTCTGCCCAGGCACTGTTAGTAAAACAAAAGAGAGTTCAAACTTGGCAGAATTGTATTCCAGGGGATTGCTGAAGTGCTTTTTTGGCCAGTAGCAATCTGCTGAGATTTTGCAAAGTTCAAAACTGACATTATTTTGCTGACAGATCCATCAGCTTTGAGTAGACATGAAAGCACCACCCTGGCGTCTGATTGCAGCAAGCTCTGTTGAACCCAGCTGGGTAGGAAGCAAACAAACTGCTTGTCTCCTGGCCTTGGTGCTGTTGCAGGCTTAATTGGTGAACAGAGTCTCATTTTCTGTAAAAGCTTAATGCAGTCTGTGTTTCTAAAATGAGGATCTTCCTTTTACACTGGTGCATGAACTGTCCCCATCAGTGCTGGGCCATCTCCTCTTCCTTTGTGGTGTGAGTTGGCCAGTGCAGGCTTGGTGAAGGGGCAGGTTTCATATCATGTGAACCTTGCACAAACCAAGTGCAGTTGCCAGAGAGCTGTGTAAAACCTGGAGGTAAGGGGAGAGGACAGAAAGATCTATGGAATAAGCACAGCACAGTGGTGGTTGTTTCTGGCCTGCTCCTTGCTTACTTAATCTTGGTAAGACATCTTACAGTTTGTCTTTCTGCATTTATGAAACGAGACAATCATTAGTTTTAGCACAAAGGGTTGTTTGTGCAGGAGTTGGAACACGTGAAAACTTTGCTGGGGTGGGTGCCCTGCCACTGAATTAGCAGGTGTTTGTGAACTGCAGTTTCCATCTGGTTGGAACTGGATGGTCTTTTAAGTCCCTTCCAGCCCAAACCATTCGAAGGGTTTTCTAAGGCTTACAGAAAAAGGAAATAATCCAGTTGTTTTTCCTTCTCAAAGGTTTGGTTTGCTTCTCTTTGTACAAAGACTAGCGTGAGACTTCTGTAATAAGCAGCAGTTTATTTGTTGTTCAGAGGAATTGTTTTAACCATTTACAAAATTGCTCTTGCCTAGATCAAGATTTCTAGCAAGGAGGAGCTAAAGGCAGCAGTCAACAAATTAGGGAGCACAAAACCAGCCAACAAGGGACCATCTTAGAGCTTTTCATCCCTTAAATTAGACTTGTGTTGTTTCAGGAGTGGATGTCAGTATGAACACACATCTCAAAGCAGTGAAGATGACGCTGAAGAACAGAGAACCTGTACAGCTGGAGACGCTGAGTATTCGAGGGAATAACATCCGATACTTCATCCTGCCGGACAGTTTGCCTCTGGATACTTTGCTAGTGGATGTTGAACCCAAAGTCAAATCCAAGAAAAGAGAAGCAGGTGAGTTTGTGCTTTTTGGTCTGTGTTTGTTCTGCCTTTGTATGCATTTTAGCACTCTGAATCTGAAGACATCAGATTTGCGTGTCTTGATACCTGCATTTGGCAGCTAGTTCTTTCATCTTTGAGGGTTTGACGCTGGACTGGCTAAGTCTGCCTTCCCCACCTTAGCATCTGTAGAGCTTGCTTTCATGTGAAATCATGTGTATGGCTTTTTATACATCTGTTTTGTGTTTTTAAGCTTGAGTAAATCTTAATCTATCACAAGACTGTTGAACAAAAACCTTCTTCCTAGAAGCCTAACAGTGTAGAGAGCAATTCAGTGTTAATCCACACTGTTTAAAGTTAATATCCAGTAAACTCCAGAAGGTGTGTAGGTTGTCTTCAGGCACTGTGTATTTTGCCCAACAGTTAATCTGTGTATTTTTAAAATAGTAAGTAAGTTGTAAGTGAAAGCTAATTGTGCTCTAAATGTGGTATCATTTCTCCTGTAACTAGTGTTTAAGTATTTGGATCTGTGGCCTTTGATCCATGTGTATGTTGTGGGTTGGTGTGCTTACCTCACTGCAGTGGTGTGAGGAACATTATGGTGTGTGCATCACAGTGTGCAAGGGGTATGGCCACTGTCTTTGTACAGAACAAGAGTAAAGCTCCTTTATCCTTTGTTCCTCTCACATCCATTAAAAACAATCTGACCACATGGAGAAGTGAGTGTGGTTGGGTTGGTTTTTTTCTGAACCTCACGATGTGATGTGAACAAGAACATCACTATCTCTTTTTTAACTCGGAGAGAGGAAAGGAGCTGTTATAGCACTATTTACCTCAGTTTCATCCTCCTTGCATCATCAGAGGACTGAAGCACTCTCAGACTGCTGCTGTGTTGTGCTGTGCTTTGCCTTATCCTGCAAATGCCCTTGGGCTTCAAAAGTGTGTAACACAGTGTGTGTCCTTGGCAAATGAGACTGTCAGTGGAAGGCAGGGTGCTGGCTGAGAGGTGTACATGGAACGTGTGCCTGGGGTCTGAGTGTGCCAGCACTTGGTGAATGTGGCTGCTACTGATGCATGCAGGTGCTGTAACCATTCATTCAGGTGTTGATGCTTCTGTGTATTTCAGAGGGTCAGTCTGTTGCCAGCAAACCAAATGTGCCACCAGCCTTCTCTCTGATCTGTGCCTCTGCTCTGTCTGTATGGCATTTCTAACCTACGTACTCTCAGGTGGAACAGAGTCATTGTTACAGCTTCCGTGCTAAATGTGGGTCCTGGAGTGTGGATCTTACCAAGCCACCCACTTCCATGGAATTTTAAGTATTTTTTTGAGACCTGCACTGACCAACTTCGTTGAAATCAACCAGTAATTGCAAAAGTTTGGCCTTGCAACTCGGTGGGACAGGTCATGTTTCTTTAGGAGAAAGGGTTGAAATCACATTATCACCATGTGGATCACAAGACCTCCAGCAGTTGGTTGGAGCCCCAATTCTGAGATTCTGCCTTCCCTTTACCATAAAATGGCAGTTTTTGAAAGCAGGAGCACACAGCTAAGGCTGTGGCCTAAGAAGCCCATCTCTGAAAACGGGGAGCTCTTTGGGGGTGGGATCCTTTCAAAATGTGCCTGAGAGAGTCTGAGTTTGGGAATCTCACAGCTTGTTAAAACCCACTGTTTCCCATTAGGAGAACACTTGATGAACCACAGTGCGAGCTATGGCAAGAAAAACATCTTTTCCACTGTAATGAATAGTAACAAAGTACTCTTGTGTATGCTTTGACTGATGCCTGAAAAACTAGATTTTCTCAAAAAGATAAAGAGAAGTAAGTTCTGTGTCAGACTTATATTTGGGAGCAGCAGACTGTTAAATCCCCTTGTTTTCTGCAGCGAAGACAGTAGGCTGTGGCAGTGGTATACTGAAAAAGCTAACACAGATGATGAAAATACTGTCTGAAACTTACTGAGCTTTAACAAACTTACTTAATACCTCATCACAGGGGAGCAGCATGCGGTTTATGCTTGGTAATGTTTTAATCAAGGTGAAAGGGGGTCTCATGTGATTTATCCTTTCTGTTTCATCTACTCAGTTGCTGGAAGAGGCCGTGGCAGAGGCCGTGGCAGAGGCCGAGGTCGTGGAAGAGGACGAGGGGGCCCAAGACGGTAACCTCTCACTACACAACTGTTACCAAATCGTGGGCAGTTTTGGATATTTTTTTGTACAGGTCTTGTTTATGGTATCCATTTTTAATAAACTGAGATGTGAAAAAGTGTCATTCCTTTGTTAGTGAAGCCTGGGGCAGGAGGCATGGTCTGTGGCTCGCGGCGCGTGGTGCCGGTGGTGGTTGTCATCATCAAGGTTCCACCCACCCCTGATGGCCATACAGCAGCCTTTTGCCCCAGAGCAAGAGGCTTGTCTTGGTGTCCTTTAACAGTGTTTTGTTTGAAATTAATCCCTCTTTAATAAGGCACTTGCCATCCTCTAATGGTTACATCGTTAAGACGCTATATTAAGAACCCACATCCCATGAGTGTGTCTCTAATGTCGTTCTTCAGAGTGACCTCTTTGAAGTTCATAGCTACAATTTTACTAGGTTTTTATTACATGAAGCTTACAATTTAAACATGTTGCTTTCTTTATAAAATGTTCACGTAGGGAAATGAACCAGTTCTGTGGAACTGCTGGATTGTTACAGCTCATGATTGAAGTGTATCTGGACATGAACATTGTCAAAACTAATCCTATGGCCTGCTTTTGGTTGGTGGGGCTTGGAAAGCAGCTTTACCACAGATTTCTTCCAGTATTACTTAAAGTGCATCCCTAGAAAATACAAAGTACAGCACAGCACACAATTACATACTGGAATTGGAAGTTTACTATTTCTAGAGGTGAGAGTACTGCAGCTTGTGAATGTGTATGTATATATACGTGTATATATGTACATATAAACTGCTTTGCTGGACACACACAGGTATCAAAGAAGCAGTTTTAGCCACGTTTATCTCCAGTACCATCCTGCTGACTTCTCCCTTGTAGGAAAGGGGTTGTCACATTCACATTGCAAGACTTGAACAGTTTCATCTGTTGATGAAAAACATGTCATTCCAAATAACATGCATGCTTAGGAGCAGCTTTCTGGAATGGTAAGGGTCTTTGCTGGTACTTTGGTGCAGGAACATGCTTAGTTGGTTGCTCATGTTTCCCCACAGGCAGTGCTACAACAGAGGGAAAGAAGAACTACCTAACCTTGTGTAATGGCTTGATGTGCTGGTTAATTTGTGCTAGCATTTTGTGAGCTGCTCTTGTGTTTTCCCCTCTCTCACAAAGGCCTTTTTAAAAGCTTCATCTTGTTACAGAAGAGCTTTTTTCCAAACCATTGTGGAACCTCCTAAGAGCACTTTTTGGTCAATATAGCACCCACGGTTCTCAACTCTAGAAATAGCTGCTACAGATAATGGTTGCTGCTGTCTTCCAGAAGTGCCCATCCACTGGCGACGGTGGTAAAGGTCTTCCCAAATCCAGCTGTGGGTGTTCAGGCAGTGGTTGAAACGCTTTCCCTCTTCAGTCTCTTCCTTATAAACGTTACTAGTGCCCCCAGGGGGATGCACATGGTGGATGCTGCCACCAGCAGCCCGATCAAGGCCAGGGCATAGCCTGGGTAGTCCTTTGTCACCAGCTGCCCCTGCAAAGGAGAGGAGCAGAGTTGGATTTGTGGTTGTTTTCAGTGTCCTGGAGCGGGGTCTGGAGCAAAGCTGTGAGTGTATGAAAACAGGACACACAAGAAGCATTTGCACAGACCAGCCCTGCCCTCAGTACTTTGTCAACCCTACAAGCTTAAAATCGACAAAACTAGAGCTGCTGACAAGAATACTGAGGAAAACTTAACTTATACAAGCTTTGGGAAAGAGCAGATTTGGGCTTAATTGATTTCTCTTAATGAGGTGGCTTGGCCCTGACCTCTGTCAGGGCTTTGTGTTCCTCTCCTGGAGCCTGTGGGCTCATGCTGACACCCAGTCACCAGGCCAGGACTGCCACAGGTCCCAGGAAAACATCTAGTTTGTTTCTGTGTGCTAGGAACATTACCAGAAAAGATTATGAAAACAGTGATTACTTATCCAGTTGTACGTCACTGTGATAAATACACAGCTCAGCATTCATAGAATCCCAGACTGGTTTGGGTTGGAAAGGACCTTAAGATCATCCAGTTCCACCTCTCTGCCACAGGCAGGGACACCTTCCACTAGAGCAGGTTGCTCCAAGCCCCTGTGTCCAACCTGGCCTTGAACACTGCCAGGGATGGGGCAGCCACAGCGCCTCTGGGCACCCTGTGCCAGCACCTCAGCACCCTCACAGGGAAGAACTTGTATACAAATTTTGTGAAAAAAAAATGTGTATGGAAATTTTGGAAATAATTAGTATGAATAGTTATTATTTATTCCAGCAGCAGCTCAGGTCTGTTAAAATACCACTAATTTTGTTCAAAATACTATACTTTGAAAATAATTTTTCTGGTTTTAAGATGGTATTTGGGTCTTCAACATGAATAAAATGTTACTGTTTGGAGGGGTCAGTTAAGAATGGAGAGGGAAATAAATGCATTTTACAGAACCATTGCACTAGGTCCTATTTTCCCTGTGTTACCTTTCCACAACATTAAGGCATGGCCCCGACTCCAGCTTCAAGCCTTCAGAAGGCAGTTTTGTAGAACAATGTAGGCTTAGTTCCGTGCAGGAATTAAGGGAAGTTTAAAACCAACCCCTAACCCAAAACTGTTTTACCTGTGTGGCATCCCATGCTTGGTATTGCAGCGTTCCTGTGAGGATATAGTCGGTGAGGTAAAATATAAATAGGCTTATAATTAGCAAAGGACTGGCAAAAGCCCACATAAGTTTCCAATACCAGTTGGGTTTGCGTCCAATCATGGTGTAAAGATCCTTCTCAAATCTGTGTTTAAAAAGAAACCAACAACAAACACATTTTTGAGAACAGCTGCATATGCTCAATCTATACCTTGGTCTGAGTTACTTCAAAACCACCTACAGAATTAAGTAAGATGGGAAAGGGGAGGACAGTTGAGCAGAAGAATAACGAGCAGAGAGGTATTGTCTGAAGAACTGGCTTATATAGTAAGTGTGAAATCAAATAAAAGAGAACAAGGCTTCCAAGAGGATCCCAAACTGAGGAAGAGTAGCTAGAAATACGTCAGTAGGAAAAGTCCTGGAGTCTAAGTTCAGACTCATTATTGATGTAAGGAGATGGAGAAAAGCAATGATGCTTCAGTACTGTGGAGAAGACACTGCTCATCCATGTAGTTGAGTTGTTCTCACCACTGTTACTTGACTATCCCTAAGGAAGATGCTGGGGATGGTACCTAAAATCACCCAGGAAACCTGGATCCAACTCAAAGGCATTGAACTCATCAAGGCTGGAGTACCAATGTGGGTGCCAGTCTGCTAGCACAGTATGTGTGCAAACAACACAAATACTACAGCATTTTCCTTTAGGTGCCCTGAGCACGAACACCTCTGCTGCTTAAAACCTTTCCTGGTGCTGAATCTTGCTTCTACCCACAAGGGACAACATGGGAAATCTGTGGATCTTTGTTTGAAACCAGACCTGCCAGCACCGTGCTCACACTGAACTACTGTGAAAAGAGGAGCACCTTTGGCAGGAGACCAACGACAAGCGCAGGGAGCTGTGTGTACGGCTTGGCCACCACACAGCCCTGAACTGAAGGTGCTGGAAGGGGTCTGCAGGGCAGGGGAGACCCCATCACCTTGCTGATACCACACGTAGCAGAAGCATCTAACCCAAGGAGGTATGATTATCCTGTATTCACTCCCCCAGCTAATCCCACTGTGAGGAAAGGAGGGTTCAAGCTCGCTCTTACCTTCTTATCCCGTAGATGTAGCACACCGCAATGGTTTCTACCAGCACGATGAGCAGCAGTGAGAGGGTGGCTGCGTAGTCGTTGAATATGTCAAACCAGTAATTCCCAGCCTCCATGGTGAAGATGAGGCCAATCACACAGTTAATGAAACACACAGCACCTGTGTGGAGCAAACAGGGACCCTGCTTTGCACCTGGAAACCCAAAAGCTCGTGGGATTTCTGATGATTCCTGTTGGGAAGCAGCCTTCTCAGAGGAGAAAGAGATTATTTTTTCCCCTTTGGAAAAGACCTGTTTCTGTGTGACTCTGCTGGTGTATCCTTAAACTGCTGCTCCTCAGACCTGCAGTCACAGCACATCACCCCAGCAGGGTCAAGACAACAGAGTCTTGGCTATAGCCTTGTCACATGGAGAGCAAGTCCAGAGGAGGACACGAGGATGAGCAGGGGCTGGAGCACCTCCCATATGAAGACAGGCTGAGAACATTGGGGCTGTTCAGCCTGGAGAAGAGAAGCTGCGTGGAGACCTCAGAGCAGCTTCCAGTGTCTGAAGGGGGCTACAAGGATGCTGGAGAGGGACTCTTCATCAGGGACTGGAGCGACAGGACAAGGGGTGATGGGTTCAAACTGAAACAGGGGACGTTCAGGTTAGATACAAGGAAGAAGTTCTTCGCTGTGAGGTGTGGCAGGGGGTTGTAACTGGATGATCTTTCCAACCCAAACCATCCTGTGATTTTATGTGCATGCAGCTTCTGCTGTTACTGCTGGGCATCCCACTAAAACAGGTTTTCAGGTGGGACTACCGATTTCCATGCCTGGATGGGAGTGTGTATCACTTCTGGCCAAAGACTGAGGTGTTTCACAGTTGGGAAGCTGGAGATGTTGCTCTCAGTCACTCACTGCAGGTGTCTTGACACTTGTCCTGGCCCTTGACTGCCACTGGTCAGTAGACACCCATCTGAAGGAGCTGGGGTGTGTTGGGAAGGCTGCAAACACACAGCCACGATTGCCCTGGTCACTGTGCTTTGAGAGCTGCTGAGGGCAGGTGCTGTACAGGCTGGGCAGCATGTTTGATACTCTCTGCTCCACCCGATGTCAAGGAGGAGCCCTCAGTGGCAGTGGGACAGCAGAGCTGTGCTCTCGCAGGTGGGCACTCACCTGAGATGACCTCCTTGGGGAAGCGAGTGGCAATGGCCCTGCTGTCGGTGAGTGGTGTGAGGATAGCAGCCGTGTTCCCCAGCATGCTCCCGATGCCCAGCATCAGCAGCATGACGAAGTAGAGCACAGAGTACAGCTGGGGCACCTCCATGTTCTTGATGGCTTCAGAATAGACGATAAATGCCAGCCCCGTCCCCTGGACAGCCTAATGGTGAAAAGGGGG